TGGGTAGGGGTAGTTCAAATTTGAATTTTGAATGTAATGGATGGTGGGAGGGAAAGGTGATTAGAGAAATAATTAATTGGATCCAAAATGAATGCCAATTAATGTTGATTGGAGGGGAATAAGGGGCCGGCCATTAGGGGAGCAAATCAGGGGATTGGTCTTAATTAAATGTGGGTCCAAGCACTTAATCATTGTAGGAGAATAAATATGATTTTAAACTTAGATTTATGCAGAGCAATTGATTACCTAATTGGGTTAGGGATGTCACGACCTGACTCGGTTAGCTCGTATATACGAGGCGGGAACGAAGTCGGACGTTAACAAAATCATTTAAGTATTCTATGTCATTAATTCTGCCAAAAGACTTTAGATTGGAAAGATACAAGCGCCGGCGATGCCAAAAGTCTCAAATGCCCTCACTTAAGTAAATTTTTGCTTAAGAAACACCTAGGGGTAGAATTGGCATTTCTAACATTCCAAAATTCATAATCTTCAAAATACTCAAAATTAAATATAGGTTCTATATATGGAAACGATCAGAATTTTGTGCTCTATTTTCTAAATTTATTCCCGTCAAAATCCGACAACATTGAAATTCTCACTTAAAACTCGTCGCAGCGCTTTGAAAAGCGTGCGAAGCCTAAAACGGCATGTTCGGGTTTTACAAGGGATTTAGGGAAAGATTTGACATCAAATCTAAGTTGAATTTAAATTCAAATTCCCATTGTTTTTGGATCAACACAAATTAGGAAACTAATTGAATAGCAGCAATATTCGATTGAGGGCTGAATGGGGAAAGAGGGAAAAGGATTTAATTGATTTGGGTGTGGGCCCACCCAATCAATTAGTTATTTAATTAAATATGAAAATTATTTCAGATGTGAAGATTAGGGACGTTTCCTAATTTAAGATCCGTATATTTGGAGAGAATTCAAAATTTGAATTGGAATTCTTCCCATAAGGAGGCTTAATTAGGTAAGTCTTAATGGCTTACTGAGGGAGGAATAAAGGGAGGAAGGTGGGGAATGAGGGTGACAGACTGTTGAAGGTGTTTGAGAGTGGTGGTTCGACGAGTGGGGAAGAAATGGCTAGAGGGGAGTCGCCAGTTTGGTGGAGTTGTGGGGGCCGACGGTTCTATTGGGAGGAAACCGATCATGGAGCGGGGTGGAGAAGGTGGCTAGGAGGACAGGGAGGAGCCGACGGGTGGAGTGAGGGAAAAGAACAAAGGAAAGAAAAAAAAAGAAAAATAAACCACTAGCTACAGACTATTCCAATGACTGGTGGGTATTGCGTTACCCTTCGCCAAGGGACTCTCTCCTCTCAAGAACTCACAAAAAGATCAAACAAGAAAAACTGGAAATTTTCATTCATAATCATCATCCTACAATACAAGAGAATTATCCTATAAATAGGCCTCATGAAAAGAAAAATAACAAAGACTAAAACGCGCTTCGGGCTACAACACCACATGGCCACTCTTAAGGGTAAAATGGGAAAAACAATAATATAAGATAAACTAGTACATAAGACATAAAAAAAATAAAATAAGCTCTAGATCGTAGTCGTTGATATTCCGATGTCCTCATCATATAGGGATGTCCTAAAGATCGATTTGATAAGATCTAAATGAAACTTAGGAGTATGCATGAAAAAGTTCACCATTTTCTAAATTTTAAATGTTTAGATGTTTAAATTGCTCATTATTAATCAACTTACAAATTTCATCAAACATGTTTATAAGCTTCAATATATATAGTGGAGTATAATATATGAGCTTTTGAAAGTTATAGAGTATTCCATACTTGTTTCACAAGTATTTAGAGATTTGATAAACATTTTAGTAAGTTTGCAAATCTTTAGATATATAGCAATATAAAACATTCGCTTCTACCCTTATTTTGCTGAATATTGTATACAAACTTAATCAACTACGCTTCCTTTGTGGGATCTCAACATAGACTTTGGGAGGTTAGTGAGTGATCTCACAACATAAGATGCTCGCCAAATTGATTAAATTTGCTTCCAAACATTTGCAAAATTCCACAAAAAGTTTACAAGCTTCAACACAAAGAAACTTTGCATTCATAAATTACTTTTATAATCTAAGCTTTGAAAGAAAGATGCATGCGACCAAATAAATTGATGCTTGGGAACTTTCTCCTATGTTGATGTATTAGATGCATGAGCAAACATCTCTAATTTTAGGGATTTCATAAGTTAAAATGCTCATTTGTTATCATCTCCATGAGCTTCACAAGACACCCAAAATGAATTTTAAGAGTTTTACCAATCCTAGGATTTGCAACGTAAATCTTTGGAGATTCATGTGAAATCTTGCAACATGTTATAGATTTAAAATCCGACTAAATGCATTTTCCGCATTCATGAAAGTCATGGAGAATCTACAAATTGACAAATATGAAACCCCAAATTTTGTGTAAGTTTTGTTATGGCATTTAATAAAAAATAAAAAGAAAAGCATGACTTGCAATGCAAAGAAACCTACACCTCAATATTCATCTTGAGATGAGAAGACATCACCTAGCCTATGGTCATTCGTAGGTGATGGATTGGAAAGCAACATGAATGCTAAAACATGCATTTGAGAAGTATTAGATACCAATCCAACACTCCTACACGCGTTAAAATCCTCTCCGAACTCTCACATGAGAACCAACAAATGAAGACCACCACGTTTTCACTGTTTTGCGAAGAGGACAGCCAATAAGGGATTTTGGGAGAGCAAAAATTGAAGTTTTCTTAGGACCTAAGGCTCGGGGACGTCAACCATACAACCACGACTAGGGGGCCTAAGGGCTTTTCCTAAGTTTTCAAGGTTTTACCTCTCCCGGGCTGTCCAAGCGCTCCAATCCAAGCTCTGAGTTGTTGTCCAAGCTTCAATCCAAGCTCCGAGCTGTTGTCCAAGATGCTCTGGAGGTTTCCTTTGTTGTCCAAGGCGTTCCCAAACCTCCAAACTACTGTTTGGGAGGTTTTGAAGGCTTTGCTGTTTGGAAGCTTCCAACAACCTCCTTGTTGCCTCGAGGTCGCCGGAGTTGATTTGAGAGTGAAATGAAACTCTCAAACCATCCCAAGGTTGTTGCCGAGCTCCTTCTAGGCCAAGTGGCAGCGAGAGAGAGTCGCAACTCCAACACCTTCCTCTGGTTTCACGAACACAAGAAGCCGAGTGGTTCCCCCCTTCTGCTCGGTCGGACGAACACACGCAGAGCTGGTCAGCTCTGCTCTCCTTTCCTGGGGTGGAAGCACAAGTGGCGGAGATAGACTTCGCCTCCGCCTCACTCCCTCTCGCGCTCCCTCTCCTCTGGTTCGGACGAAACCCACAATGATGAGGACATCAAAGTTCAACCGCTACGATCTTGAGTTATTTTTATGTACTGGTTTATTTCATATTATTGTTTTTCCCTTTATACCCTTATGGGTGGTCATGTAGTATTGTAGCCCGAAGGGCATTTTAGTCTTTTATTTCTTTTCTTTTCATGAGGCCTATTTATAGGCTAGTTGTTATGTATTTTGGGTTCTTGCATGTACGTTTCACATCACACAAGCCAAAGGAGCCGAATGGGGTTTCTACTGGTGTCTCCCCTTTTGCTCTCTCGCTTCCTCTTTTGCTCTTGTTCGGGACGAACAAGCACGAGGGAGCCAAATGAGGCTCCCCTTCGTCTCCCGCTCTATATGGGACGGACAAGCACGCACAAAGGGACGCCCATGCTTACTCGAGTGTTTTTGCCGCAAGATAAGACTTTTGCCGCAAGAGATAAGAGATCCCCGCAATCTCTCTGCTGTAGCCGCCCGCGGGAATCAAAATTTGACGGATAACGACCACAAAATTTGATGGATAACTACTACAAAATTTGAAAATCAGGGTAAATCCTAGCCGTTGGTTGCAGGGATTGATTTGGAAGAGTCAATTGGGCTAATCTTGAGCTCAAATTAGACTCGATTCGAACTGATATGAGTCGATTTGCGTCCGATTATGGCTGATCAAGTCAATTTTGCGAAATTAAACTTGAATCGGCATCGGATTATGTTGAATTTGGCTCGACGTGGCTCGATTGGGTTCGATTTGAACTGATTTGATTTTAATTTAATTAGATTGAATTAAATTAAATTAAATTTGGGTCCAATTTTAGTTAAATGACGCTCGACAACTATTGATTGAGTTGATCGAGCGCGATTGAGTGCAGTCGGGCTTGAATAGACTTGATTTGGGTTGAGATTGCCTCGATGCGAAAAAATAAGTCAACAATATGTGGTTACTTTCTAATGGTTTTCTCATGTGTGTCATCTCTTCTGATTTAATGAACTTGATTATTAATGAACGTGAGTGGTGTGCTATCTACTCTTTAGTACTTCTCAGCTTTGTCTGTCCATTTTTAACTTAGTACAGTACCCTCTGATATTGCAGCACTACGCCTTTAATGAAGTACCTTGAGTGTAAATTTGATGAAACTACTCATTCTGAAAACTTGCAGTGTGAATTCAGTATACCCGTCTTCCCCATCAAACAGCCTCGGACACCCTCTAAATAATCCAAAGAAGCCTAAAATTTAATACTTGTGGTTTTGTGGTTACTTTGACTTTTTGTGGCTGATGTTGGTGACTTCGGTTCTTTGAGTCATTTCGTGGAAAGTGTTCTGACAAGGTGAAATGGACGTTATGTACTTGGAGTAATGCTTGGTATAGCTTTGGCTAGTGATAATTAAAGTTTTCTTACCATCAGTGTTAGTGGTGACACTCTTTGAAAATTTCGTTAAAACTGTAAAGCTGGTTATATGTTTTCTAGAAATCTAATTAGTTGTTAATCTTTTACAGTTCAACTTACCTTGTGCGTGTGCGTATATATATAGTTATTTGTGTATTTTTCCTTTTGTTGTTACTTTTTTGTCTTTCTTTGCTTTTTAATTAATTAATTAATTAATTTTTTCTTTGTTTTGTGAACACTGAATATTTTAGATTTGACTTACCTGTTCAACTGTCTTCAGTTACGTAATTTCACCGTACATTGAATACCCACAATTGCTTGGTTTACTCTTAAAATTGCTGAATGGTGAGTCAGCTTGGTCAACTAGACGAGAAGTGCTGAAGGTATCACAATGCCACTTAGATCAGTAATGAAAATGTACTTTGAGATTTTGTTTACTCATGTCTTTAGTCATACAGGTTCTGGGTATAATGGGTTCTTTGGATCCTCATGTGCACAAGCGCAATCAGCAGACATTGCCTGGTTCACATGGAGAAGTGAACCGTCCTCAAAGCGACCCTAGTCAACATATTGTTTCTATGGAGGAGTTACCTACTGATATCTGGCCCTCTTTTGTAACTTCTGAGGATTACTATTCCACAGTAAGCCCATAATATCATGTTCTTTGAGTTTTATCTTGTTTTGTTGCCACCTAACAATTCTTATGTTGTTTTAGGTAGCTATAAGTTCTCTTATGCGAATTCTTCGAGATCCCTCACTTTCTAGTTATCATCAGAAGGTTGTTGGATCTCTCATGTTCATATTTAAGGTATGCTTTAAAGCAGAGTTTCACCCTCCCTCCCTATTCTATTTGATTTTCTTAACTCTCTTAGCATCAATATTGTTAATTAACTTTTGCTTATGTTTTTGAAATTAGTCAATGGGCTTGGGATGTGTTCCATACTTACCCAAGGTGAGATGTATTTTATTGCTCTATCTCTCCTATATATAAATGATCCACTTTTAATGTTTTTCCATTCTATTTTAGGGCATATTTTATAAATGGCTGTGTTATTACATCTAGGGGCTTTCTCATCTGCTTCACAGTTATCACTCTCACACCTTATAGCATCCTAAAAATAAACTTCAGTGGCACCCAATATCAAAATTTCTACTGATTTTATAAGTGTTTGTTTGCAATTTAGAGATTTGAAGGATAGATTTGAAATGCCCTCTTTTCTTTTCCTTATTGTTATAGGTTCTGCCTGATCTTTTCCATGCCGTACGCACTTGTGAAGATGGATTGAAGGAATTCATTACTTGGAAGCTTGGGACATTGGTATCCATTGTCCGCCAGGTGGAATTAGTATTTCGTTAATTTCCACTCTTTGATGATATTGCTTACCTTTTGGTCCATCTTTTATAAGATTATGACTACTGATGTCCTTTGTTGCAGCATGTACGGAAATATTTACCAGAATTGCTTAGTCTTATATCTGAGCTGTGGTCGTCATTTAGTATACCCACAAGTCGACCTCCATGTGGTTCACCGGTATGCCTTATATCTATTGGGCTCTGCTCTTTTTTGTAATACCACCCAGAATTCATGGTGAAATATTAGGATCCTTCGTGGATTGTTGGGATGCTTTTGATTTATTTTTGCAAAGTTGCTAATTATGGTCCAAATGAAGTCTACATTAGATCTCTATGTGGTGCAACCTTGGGAAAATGCCTGGGCATGTTTTGATTAAAGCTGGAGTTAATGTAAATATGCATTTATCTTAATCGATGCTCTGTGCATTTATCTTTAAATCCTAATATGCATTTATCTCTATTGATGCTCTGTTGCATTTATTTTTAAATCATAGCCTAAGTTGAGAGCTTATTTTCAAATAAATATTTTTTTATACATCTAATATATCTTATATAATCTATATATTCTATTCTATTTTTGTTTATTTCTTTTTTCATAAAGAATCTATTTTTTTTCTCTTAATTATTAAAAAGTTTGAACTAATCTTAAACAAATATTATTTTACTTATTAAGCTAATTTCAAATAAGTTATTTAATTTATTAAATAAGCTTTATAAATTAGACTTGGTTTTAACTCAAAAGTTGAATTAATTTAACCTATAAATTAAGTTGGCTCGGCTCAAGATCAAATTCAAGTATTCAACGAGTAATTTTTCTGTTTTAAAAATATATTTATGACATGCATTGCATGCAATTACTTGTACGGTAAGATGGAGCTTGAAATAGATTTGATTAAAGCACTATTTTGTTATAGTTTGATTGTAGAATAAGGTTCTGTGCGGATGTTTTATGACCATCATGTTATAGTTTGATTGTAAAACACGTCCCCTTCTATTTTGCATGTTATTTGTTTTATAATGCTAAGCAGCTCTTTTCATGTGCAGATTCTACATCTAGTAGAACAACTTTGCCTTGCTTTGCAAGATGAATTTAGAAGTTACTTATCGTCCATACTTCCAAACTGTATACAAGTTCTTGTTGATGCTGAGAGGTGCAATGACTTCAGTTATGTTCCTGATATTTTACACACCTTTGAAGTGTTTGGTGGTCAGTACAATTCTTCTTTTTGGTCGCTTCGTTATTTAACTATGCATAATTTACCTCACTTGAAGTTTCCTTGTGACTTTATTGTCATAGGAACACTTGATGAGCACATGCATTTAGTTTTTCCTGCTCTTATCCGCTTATTTAAAGTTGAAGCTTCAGTAGATATAAGACGACATGCAATTAAGACTATAACCAAACTCATACCTCGAGTTCATGTAAGTTTCTTTGAGGGAAATTGTACCATATTACACATCATCTTTAAAAAAAAAAAAGATTTGATTTTCTTTTTTTTTTTGTTTTTTATTCAATATTACCATTTATTTTCATTGTTTCTCAGGTCAGTGGTCATGTATCAGCTCTTGTGCATCATCTTAAGCTTGTTTTGGATGGGTAAGATCTTCACACTACTCTTTTTAGTGATGAAACTACTGAAGGAAACCCGAATCTATTTTAATCATCATAATTAGCTTATCTTTAATAGCTATTTCGGATTGGCTTTTCGAATCCTCACTTTCAATTTGTTCTTAGTAAGTACTACCTAAGATATAGAACCTGTTCATTGCAAATCATTTTGAACAACTTCTATCCATTTAATTGTAACAATAAAATATCTACATTATCTAGATATTGCTCGTTTTTATCCTAGCGATCTCATGATTTTGTCACCTCGGTGCAACTTTCTAGTTCACATCCCAAGAGTGCACCCATATAAGCATACTCAACTTTGCAGTTTCTAATGAAACTCCAATCAGTATATTGAAAGGTGCATTGATGTTTAAGAGTTTATTTTCATTATAGTTAAGTGTTTTCACCATCGCCTCCACTTAAATAGTCGATATCATCTCCTTAGCCTAGAATTATCCACCTGGCAGATAACATTCAAGAGGTGGCCCCTACAAGTTCAATAGGTGGCTCCCATTATGTAGCACTTTGCCCTATTTAAGGTTCAAGATGCGACTCTCATGGCGTAAGTCTTTATCTTGCATGACACTTGGTTCCATTATTATGGTTATTGTATTGCCTTGACATCATTTATAATCATCCAAATTCTTAACTATCGAGATATTGTTTGCAAAAATTTCAAGTATGTTGTATGGATGAGTGTTGAACAATAAAAAAGTCGTTCATAGTTAAGTATGTTCAAAAATGAAAATATTAAGATTCCTCGGGCAATTTGGCGAAGAAAAAACTAAAGCTTTGCAAAACAAATTAAAGAATGATTATATTAAACGAACAATTAGAGTAATACTATTAAAAAAATGTCCATTGAAAATGGACTCACATGGTAGAAAATACACCAATTAAGCGAATAGATAAAAAATAAAACATGTAAAAATTAGTTTTGTTGCAATCCGGGAGCCGAACCTTATGTTTTGATGATTACAAATATTATTGGATGATTATTTACTTATTCCTGCTACGTGCTAGAGGAGCGTCGTTTAGTGTAATGCCTAGAATGGAGGACCTTTGGGGAGTGGACGTAGGTCATTTTGACCGAACCAGTACGTTTTATTTTGAATTTGAGATTTTGAAATAAAGTTTTAATAAGAGATTTATCTTCCAAAAAATTTTCATATAGATAACCAAAAGTAAACCAATTTGCAGAGCTAGGCTGAGAAGCCCTTCTCCCTTACCAGGTGGAGAATGACTTTTTCAGACTCCCAAGAATCTCCATCCTTCTGCCTCCCTGCCCGACGGAAATGTTGTCCCTCCTTTAACTTCTCACTCCTGCGGAGATGCTGATCCCTCATTCAGTTCCTTGCTATGGAGGGGATGTCGTCCCTCCTTCCGCCTCCCAGCCCGGGGGAGGTGTTGCTCCTTCCTTGAGCTCTTCGCGATGGTGGAGATGTCGTCCCTCCTTCCGTCTCTTGGCTCGGCAGAGATGCTGCTCCCTCTTTCAGTTGCTCGCTATGCCAGATATGCCGTCCCTCCTTCAACTCCTTGCTACGACGAAGATGTTGTCCCTCCTTCTGCCTCACCACCCGATGGAGATGCTATCCCCTAGCCTCATCGGCTAGTAAGTCTTTCTCCCAAATACTTTTATTCCTAGTGCTCTTCTCCAAGAGCTCCACCAACACAGCAGGAGGACCAAAGGTACAGGTTAAGCGGAGCAACTATGTGAATCCCCTCACATCCCTTGGATCACTCAAGACAAACTCTCCCTCAACCTTACCTCCTCTCTCTTCCTTGTGATGTGGTGGACACTCTCCAAGCTTTCTCTCAGAAAAAAATGTTTTTGATTACTCAACCTGTATTTCTCTGGTCTCTTATGTTGAGTTTATAAATTGAGCTCTTAAAAATCCTAATTTTCAAATTAATTACTCTAATAGTACATCATGATACTAAGATCGTACAATACGAATAGTTCATTTCTCGTCTCTGATCGAATCATAGATCGTTCAGGACGAGCCAAGATTTGTCTAGCGATTTCTCTATTAATCGTCTTGTATAATGGTGATAGTACCATACAATTATTAATAATTATATGATCCTAACTCAATCCATTAATCATTGTACTTAAATTAGGTAATTTTAATTAATGTTCGTATAATACGATCCGTTCAAATTTTAAATTTGTCTAATTTAGATAACAAGGATTCGATGACAGGGTTTTTAGCTAAATAGCTGATTGTCCTATACGATTTGTTGGTCGTACAGTACGTTTAGATATATTAATTTTAATTAAATATTTTAATTAATTTATGTTTAAACAAATCATACAATACGATATAGATCGTACACTACGATTAACAGAAAAAATACAAGTATTAAAATTTTATCCCCTATTGTTAGTGTGTGCTAAGTTGCTTAGTCAACATACACCTAATACATAAAATGACTCGAGAAAATAAAATGTATTGACTATCAAATACAAATAGATTTAGATATCGACATTACACTATTTTAAGTCTGGATTCTTCAATTCTGCTCGTTGTATGTTGTACTTGAAATTGTTAGTGACACATGAGAAAAATATGCAATGTATAAAGTATGAATAAGTAAATAATCATCCAATAATATATGTAATCATCAAAACACAAGGTTGGGCTCTCGTATTGCAACAAGCCTAATTTTAATCTGTTCATTTAATGTGTGTATTTTCTATCTTGTGAGTCCATTTTCAATTGAATTTTTTTTAATAGATATTACTCTAATTGTTTGTTTAATATAATCATTCTTTAATTTGTTTTTCATAGCTATTTACCAAACATCTATCTTAATATTTTCATTTTTAATCATACTTAACTAAGAACAACTTTTTGATTGTTCAATGCTCATCCATACAACATACTTGCACTTTTTGCAATTTTATAAAATTTACCTTTAGTTTCCATGATATCCTTTATCACATAATACCCCTTATGCACATTTTCATTTTCTCTAGTTAGCCTTAACTTTAAAATTTTATTCTTATCTGCTTTCATACTCTTTTTTAATAATAAATCCAATATATTTAACCTCTTAGATCTTGGTATTACTTTATCTTTTGATAAATATTAATTTAGAAGTGCTAATTTCTCAACCACTAATAATTAGTCTTTGTTGTTGTATTTTTAAGCCTTATATTTCTTAATATTTAATTCATTATTTTTAATGGCTACAATATTTAGAATGCTCTAAAACACCTCACGTTGAATATATTAATATCCTTTGTGAGGATGTCAATAACCAATTAAATTTACGGGAACTAAATGTTGATTCTATGGTGTAATTTATTTATTTTTTTTTTGAAAATTCTTTGGCAGCTCCTCAAGTACTTTTGATTCCCGTTGGTGCAACATCATGAAAAATATCTTTGATAAATTTTATATAATTTTGACCACCTTTTTCCCTTAATGCTTGAAATTGAATTTTCATGGTACTCGATTGTGTACATTCTAATGGTCAGTATGCCATTTGAAGTTCCATGGTTTTCATTATTTATTTTAACAGTAAAATTCTTCCATAATAAATCTTCTTTGCATAAATCTAAATTGATTTTCTTAAACTGTTATAATTTCTCTAAAGCTTTGTTCCATTGTCTCTCTCTCTTTCTCTCTCATTGTTTCATAGTATGAATCATAAGTTTGATTCATCTATAATTAGCACAATCTCGAATATCTCCTTTGTACTTGTATCAAAAGCTTCTTCTCTAAACTTTTTCATTGGGGAAGATGGATTGATGAAATACTCATTAAAAAATTTTTCTTAAGGACTTTTTGTTGTATATGATTGAATCTTCAATTTTGATATGAAATTAAAGGTTATAATTTTGCAAATTGTTGCTGGTCTGATTCTTGCAATGTTTAAAATTGCGTATTCGGGTATTGAGGCGTTTTTCATTTGTGAGGCGATGCGTAAGCCTCAAGGCGTTTTGAGGCGTAAGCCTCAAAATTAAAAGATTGTGTAAATATAAAATGATAAATTTTTTATATACTAATGAGTGAATAATATGAATCATAAAAAAATATAAGATATGAAGTGAAATCAAAATATCTCAATAATAAGACAACATGAAATATAGTTCAACTCAAAATTCTATCTTTCCCAAATCACAGTATTCTTTTCATTAACATATAATTCAAATTTCCAAAAATAAATAGCAATGACATATCACATAAGAACTCATAAGTCATCAGCACTGTCATCACTAAGGGGTTCTTCATTTGAATCATCATTATGATGAACTGCTTTCTCCCCTTCCTCCTCTCCTATAGAGTCCAATGTCGGGCATTTACTTCAAGATTTATGTAAGTTTTAATATATATAGCGTGAGGCGTAAGACTCATGCCAGTGAGGTGAGGCGGGGCTCAACCAAGTTGAGGCTCAAGCCTCATAAAAAAAACTCGAGGCGTAAGCATCGAGGCGTTTTTTACTGGAATTGCGCAAAGGCAGGCCTCAAGGCGAGCCTCATATTGCGCAATTTTAAATCATGGATTCTTGAAATGTTTTTGTGGCTTTATTTGGATGTTACTTTCTATAAAGGGTGTATCTGAAGCATGAGGATCTCCCCATTGTGTTTGCAACCTTATCTTTGTTTTGCTAGGTGTTTGTTTTTGCGATTTGAAATCTCCATATTAAAAAGTTGGCAATTTAACAACTTCTGCACTCGGCCCCCATTTAGATGATGCATATTGATGCGGATAAAAAAATGTAAATCATTTTTTTTTACGCGAGCATTGTTGATGTTTATATTACGCATGAATATTCATCGCATGGAGTGCAATGCATGCTTACTTTTCTCATAAATTCTAAAGATATGCACTTTCAGTTCCTCTAGGAAATAGTAACTTTGTTACCCATGCTAGATTGATACATGTACATTGTTGCAACGATCAACTTCTTTAAATGACACGCTTTTCCAATTCGTCTCAGAAGTTACCAAGTCAATTATGGTAGATCGGTAGTTTTAAGTTGGAGCTATGAGAGCTTCTATTTTTTTCTCGTAGCCTGTTTTCTCTAGACTAATACAGAAGTATTAATAATAAGAAACATTACAAAGATCTGATTTTCTTGATAAAGAAGTGTCAGATTAATGGCTTTCTATTTTTTGTTCGGTCATTTGACTGGAATAGAATTTGTTGAGAGGGAACTCGGATAGGCAGTGGATGCCGTCTGGAAAAAATAAGCTTTATGATTTTTTTTTAAACAGTTTTTTGGGAAGCATTATTTCTCTCATACTTAGATGCTCATAAATGCCCATAGTAGAATTTCTCGGACAAAGCTTTTTCATCATGGAAACCTTTTGTTGCATTTGTCATCATATGGAAAAAAATTCAATCAGGGAAAAAGATGATTACTGATGTTCTTTAATGCGTTTCTAGGAACAATGAAGAACTTCGAAGGGATGCTGCTGATGCTCTTTGTTGCCTTGCTTATGCCATCGGGGAAGAATCTGCTATATTCGTGCCCTCAATTCATAAAATTCTTTCAAAGCACCATTTTCGGGTATCCCTTATTTACTTAGATTGATTTTGTTAAAAATGATGCTCACATTTTATGTAGCTAATAACCCTTTACTCTTTTAGCATAGAGATTTTGAGGAAATTGAAAGACGTGTGCGAAATCGGGAACCACTTATTTTGGAAACCTTTTCAGTGCAAAAGTTTACTCGACATCTCCCAGTTGAGGTCATTAGTGATCCAATTAAAGATGTTGACGGCGACCCTTATGAGGAAGGGGTGGAGACTAACCAGCAATTGAGAGAGCACCAGGTAATCTTGCTGTTTCATATTCCTTTTCATAATCTCTTTATGCATATTAACACGGCCAAAATATTCACATGGTTAGGTCTAGCTTCTGTTGGTGAACCTTTACTGGATTTATTTTGCTGTTAATATATTAGGCTTTTCATGTGTTTAAACTGCAAGTCAGATTCTTGCTCTTGGCAGAGCAAGCATTCTACCTAATCAAGTGTATCTTTATTGTCTTCAAGTTCTTTCCATGGTACATTCAAGGAACAAGGAGACGAAGTACTTGTCATGCTGTGTTTGCAAGCATTGCACTTACCTACACGGCGATTTGTGTGACAGTTTGATAGAGCTAATGAGATTTTTATGCCAAGTGCCGCAGAATTTTCACAAAACTGCTTGTTTTCTTAGTTGTATCCACCTTTGTATTACTATTTATATTTCGGTCTGTTGCATTCTCTTTGAATGCAAAAAAGCCTGTTGTTTTGATTGAATGCTTTTTTTCTAATGTGGAAACTTGCATTACTTTTTGTTGTTTCTCCAGGTGAATGACGTGAGGCTAAGGACTGCTGGTGAGGCTTCCCAGAGGAGTACCAAGGAAGACTGGGCAGAGTGGATGAGACATTTTAGTATCGAGCTACTAAAGGAATCTCCATCTCCTGCTTTGCGTACCTGTGCACGGCTTGCACAATTGCAGGTCTGTAATCATTTTTTTCCATTCTATTGTTATCCCTCTTATTGACTTCGATAATATGCAGCCTTCGGTTGGGAGAGAACTATTTGCAGCTGGTTTTGCAAGTTGCTGGGTACAGATGAATAAAACTTCCCAGGAGCAGCTAGTGAGAAATCTCAAGACAGCTTTTTCGTCTCAAAATATTCCTCCTGAAATTCTAGCTACTCTACTAAATCTGGTATATTTATATCTTATTGTCCTTAAGTTTAAAATGCAATGGTGATATTACTAATGCTAATTATTTTAAGATTGAGCAGGCAGAATTTATGGAACATGAGGAAAAACCTCTTCCTATTGATACCCGGCTACTTGGTGCTCTTGCTGAAAAGGTTGTTGTCCTAGCAGAACAATATTGTTTTCATGTGTTAGAATATAGCTGCAACCATATCAACGGTGCTATCTCTTCTGCAGTGTCGGGCATTTGCAAAGGCTCTTCATTACAAAGAAATGGAGTTTGAAGTTGCAAGGTCTAAAAAGACGGGAACGAACCCAGTTACGGTGGTCGAGTCTCTAATTCATATCAATAATCAATTGCACCAACATGAGGTTTGTTATTATTATTCCCATGTGTTTTTGTAATTGCGTTATTATCTCCCTTTTGTTTTTGTTTTGAATCCTCTGTTGGTTTATGCCATGTATAGATCATTTTTCTTGCTTATCTCTGCAGGCTGCAATTGGGATCCTGACTTACTCACAACAACATTTGGATGTTCAATTGAAAGAATCTTGGTATTATTTATTTGCAATTTTTATGTTTATTTTAGGTGTTCATATATTTATTAATTCATAAATACAGTTGCAGGTTAAAAAATTCCAATGTTATCATCCATATTTTGTTTAATAATTAATTCTTATTGCCCCCTTAGTGCGCTTCTTGTAAATTGAGATTATATTTTCTTTGTTTAAGGTATGAAAAATTACAACGATGGGATGAAGCACTCAAGGCATACACAGAAAAGGCATCTCAGTTATCTGGTCCACCTCATAATTTGGATGCTACCCTTGGTCAGCATTTATTTATGAACTCTCATTTTTTCTGTATGGTACATCTAACGCAATGTGCTTTATGGATTATTGGCCAAAGCAGTTGTCAGGAAAATGATTTATTTGCTAGATTGGTGCTAGATTATTTGATTTGCTTGTTTCATTCGCTTGAAAAAGCAACCAGACCTGGCTGGCTATTGCACAATCCGTTCATCTTCTTTTATTTGCTGAATTCATTAAAGTTTGTTTCGTTTTCTTCGGTGTTTCGGATGATGAATTTGATGTTTAGGATATATCTGCTATTGTAATGAGACTATGATGGCTGCAGCTGGTTCAAATTGGTTGTTATCGAATTTTTATTTTGTTGCACAGTCTCTCTGGATTCTCCTCTGTTTATTGCACGATTGGAGAGATTCAATTATTTATGATATGTCATATAGTTAATGGTGTATTCGGAGTTGGCATGCTAGTCTTATAGTTGCTGTATTTTTTTGTTGTTCAACTTAAAATATTTAGCACTTCTATATCTATTGTTTTATGCCATTAAGCAATTCAGAGGCATGCTCAAATATTGGCCATATATATATATATATATATATATATATATATATATTTTCTTGATAATGAAATCCTAATGAATTGAGGGCACCCTTGAAGGATTGACATGCTTATAGTTTCCTATAATATTGGAAAATTTGAGGAGTTTTTTATTTATTTATTTAAATATTTAAGAAATGTTTAAAAATGATTTCCTGCTTATAGGATAAGAGAGCCAAGTATTGTACGCTATGAAGTAGAAATATAATAAGCATGTCTTTTTAGGTAGTTTCTTATAATTACTAGAAATGAATTCTTGTAAATTGCAATATACACATAAAACCATCTTATGGAAACATATTGCCAAGCAAAGCTTTTCTAATAGCATTAGTTTCTGAAACGATCTTTTTTTTTTTGGAGGTCGAATGCGGTGCCTTGCTGCTCTAGCCCGGTGGGATGAGCTTAGCAATCTATGCAAAGAGCAGTGGACTGCTTCTGAGCCAGCAGCTCGACTGGAGATGGCCCCCCTGGTTTTTAATCTGATACTTTTACATTCCATAAATTATTTCTGATTGTTTTTTCCCGGTTCAGTTTTAATAGTGCGTATATCATAGGCTGCTAGTGCTGCATGGAACATGGGGGAGTGGGATCAAATGTCTGAATATGTTTCTCGGTTGGATGACGGCGATGAAAGCAAGTTGCGTGTAATTGGTAGTGCTGCTGCGACCGGTGATGGGAGCAGCAACGGTGCTTTCTTTAGGGCTGTTCTCTTAGTTCGACGCAGGAAGGTATGTTTATAGTTTTTTCTTTTATATCTTTAGTTTGGCTAGTTTTTATGAGATTTTGTTTTATTTTTTTAGTATGATGAAGCCCGCGAATATGTTGAGAGAGCTAGAAAGTGTTTGGCAACTGAGTTGGCTGCACTGGTTAGTTTTATGATCTCTTTCTAATTTCTGTTTAATTTATTTATTTTAATTTTTAAAGCATCTTCCTTTTGAATTTTTCTACCACGTTTCCGTGTCTTGATGCTCTTCAAGCTATCTCTGAAGATATCTGGGAACTGAAAATCTGAGATTGTTAATTTAGGCAAATTTCTTTTTTTTAATACCATACTGGAAGAAGGTCAAGGAATAGGGAGAGGAAAATTCGAAGTAAATTGAATGCTTATATGAGTCTCTAATTCCTAAATGAAAGCAATTATTTTTATTCTTTATACATTTTTCTGCTCTTGCTATGTTGTTGTTCGGCTGCCTCAAAGTTTCATTTCTGCTGAGCTGCTCTTTTGATGTTTTCCTCTTTCTGTCTTGTGACTTTGCTTTTAAAGAATTCATTTCATAATGGTGCATGGTTTAAGTTCCAAACTTGTTGAAGATACATAGAGGTATTTATTTTGATTGTTACATCTCGTGATTGTTTATCTATGAGCTTGTTTGGTCATCCATAGAGGCTGCCTGTGGCCTAGGTGAAGCCAGAAACAGCGAGTGCATGCAGAGATGGGGCTGTGGCTCGGTATAAAAGGACGTCTTATTAGTTGCAAACTTGTTGCCCACATAGTATGACTTCCATTTTTTTTTTTGTAATATATTTGTGGAGAACTATGATGGTTTTCTGCTAGTTTTTGGGGCTCGGTTTATTGCAATTTTCTAAATCTTCTTATGTTATACTGGAAATAACTATTATTTTCATAATTTCTGATATATCTCCATCTCCAACCCACGAAAGAGTCTGTTTCTGTGTACAAACAACCTATTTCTCTATTGATTCTTTGGCTGTGTATTTTTATTTTTATTTAAGGTTATCTAACAACTAATTTTTCCCTAGGTTCTTGAAAGCTATGAGCGTGCATATAGCAATATGGTCAGAGTTCAGCAACTCTCAGAATTGGAGGAGGTTTTTGTCTATCTTTAGTAATATGAATGGTCTTTTGATGCTTTTTCTTTGTGAGCTTTTAATCTTGTTGGCATGTTCACATTTTTCTTTTTGAACTTTTAACTTTTCAGCTTATTCAAAATATTTCTGCACAATTTAATGGACTGGAAAGGAGCTTACTTTGTTTGTTTACATTTCTTTCTGAATGCCATTTTCATTTTTGATCATGTAGGTTATTGATTACTGCACTCTTCCGGTGGCAAATCCTGTTGCAGATGGCCGGAAGGATTTGATTCGTAACATGTGGAATGAGCGAATAAGAGGCGCCAAGCGGAATGTAGAGGTTGGTTACATTTCATAATCAGTTTTATCCTTTTTTTTTGGGATTTCTGGATACATGTATTATGATTTTAATAAAAAAGCAGTACCTTTACATCACAATTGGCGAAAATTTCTCAGTTGAAACTTATGCAATATGCTATTGAAAATTATAAATAAGCCTTGTAATCTTCTTTGATATTAATATTTTTGAATACCTTGTAGCTGAAACCAGAATTTAGATTTATTTTTTTTCTCATCTGAATCAATGCTAGCTTTGTTCTCTTTGCCTTTTTTGATATTTTATTTAAAATCCTGTTCTTTAACATAAATACTTGAATTTTATATTTAATAGTTACTATGTCATTAATTAATTTAATATCGTTTTTTTTGTTTGAATTATTCAATCTCTGTACTCGTAGTTAGAGTCTAGTAATTTGATCAAGCAATTCAAAAATTTTCCAACTCTTTAGTTTGCTACCTTCAAATATCCACTTCTAGAGAAGTCTCATTGAGGGCCGTCTACACATCTTTTGATTCTTTGTAAATTAGCTTGTGGGTTTATGGCTTTGTGGGCTTTGAAAGATACCCATGGTGTTGCAATAGAGAATTAATTATAGCTAACCGATGCACTTTACAGGTCATGGGGATCAATGATGAAAGACTGCATATATGAGTCCCAAGTATTTCCACTGCAAGGAATGTGGTTCCAAATATGGTTTATTTTAATTATTGGGGTTGAGTTTCATTAAAGGATCAAGCTCCTGAGGTTCTATATTTCTCGGGCATATCCGAGATGATTAAGGAGGCAATGATTATGTTCATCTATGTAGAATTATTGTAGGTCTAGTTAGATCAAAATCAAAGTGGACCCTATGACGCTTGATAGAAATTAGACCGAAGATAATCAGTGGTCGAAGATGTGAGACATCCTAAGAACCCATGAGGATAGGCTCAAAGGTACTAAGAAAGACACAAAAGAGGGACTTATGACTTCATATCAACTGGAGAGAGATGTCTAGATTGAACATAAGTGCCATGTGATGTAGAACGGGTAGGAGGTTTTCAGTCCTACAGGTCTTGAAGAGAACAAAGTGATCTTGGTCGTCGATCTTTAGCTCCTCCTCGGATTGGCATGGACGGTTGAATGTCCGCATCACCATGTGGTGGCACTTGCCTTGATATAAGAAATTACTCGGTAAGGGGTGACGAACCAGATTAGAATCCCATTGATTCGTCATCTCAGGTTGTCATAACCAAACCTTACTTAATCCATCATCTTAGGATTCATGTTAGTAATCATAGATTACCTCATCCAATGGAGCCTTGCAAAAAGGGGAACGATTCCTAACCTCCGTAACCTACATAAGTCCTAGACTATACAATCAAACCTAAACCCTACTACTAGCATGGGTCTTAGGCTCTTAAGGGTATTGGGGGTATGGGAGGTATTACCTCCATGTGGTGGAGAAAATATTTGTGATGGAACTTACTGCTTGATCATTTGGGACCAAGAAATTTGGATGCCAGTTCCATTTGACGAAGAAATCCAAGATGAGATTTTCAGCTTGATCATGTGGTATCAAAAAACTAGGATACCTCCATGCACGGAGAAGATATTCAAGTTGGGACTTACAACTTGATCTTTTGGGATTAAGAAGCCTAAAGATTGGACTTAAATCATTCCTCGGTTAGTAATGCTACTAACCACCTAAGCATATATGCAATCATGGGGTTGATAAGTCTATATGATATGAAGGAAACACGCACATTTTATGGCTTGTATGCTTATGAAGCCTTTTTTTTTTGCTTTGGTTACCTTCTTTAAGGCGAACCCTAATCTATGTGTAGGCTTACAAGGTCATGCATGATGTGAATCAACAATGTGTTATGCTGATGAGGTCTTTCATCTATACCCTAGGATGATGAGGCAAAAAGCTAGTCATCTTATAAAATGGAGCATTGACGAGGCATGTTTATTCTAAGTTTATTTTATCTTGTATGTTTAAATGTTGAAAAAAAAGTATCCTATTATTTAGCATCATCATAAAGTAAAACCTAGGCCACATCATAGTAGTATTGCACCTGTGCTCGACCATGTGAAGGCCAATGAGAGTAATGAGTTGCTGGGTGAATTTATGTGCTCGTGAGGCCGATCATTAGTATCAAGTGGTATATCACCCACAATCAAAAGTATCAAGATGTGCACGTCTATATGAGTTGATGCGCTAGTCTATATGCTTGTGAGGCTGATCATTAGTATTAAGTAGTAACACACACAGTCAATAAACACACTAAACTAGGGAAAGGCTTGACTAAATTTGTTGACTTTGTGCGTGTATTGGGATGACAGTCTTTTTGGATCATCCTTGCATTGGTGCATCGATAAATGTGAGTTCTAGTAAGTGATCATGGCACTTTTCTTGTTGCTATGCTGAAATTAGACTTTATTCATTTTTATTCTTATTTGCAATTACCCAATCACATCACTAAATATAAAATAAGATGACATGATATTTGCATGTGGGATTGGGTCTACAACTAGGCTCACATCAACAATGGTACCCTACACTACCATGCCTTTTAAAAGAGCACTTATCATGCTAGCTAGGGGTATCAAGTAAATATGATAGATGTGAGTAGTTGCTCTTGAGGAAAATTATCACACAATAACATGAATTGGTGGGTTCTAGGTGTACAGACACTCTTCATGGTCAATGCGATTGGGTGTGATCGCTGGTGCAAAAAAAAAAAAATAGTGATTGCGCACAGAGATGCATGCATGAAAATTTAGTGGATGCGGGTAAAAAGTTCAATGAGCTCACAAAAGTGTGTGCACGTTGTCAAACATGTTCCATCGTGACTGATTAACTATATATTCATGATTGATAGTGATGTGAAACGTGCTTGCAATGATGATTAACTTAGGGAGTTTGCACGCTTAATGTTAGAAGCCATAATAATCATATCTTCACAATGAATGCTCTAACGACAAAAGAAAGCACTAGGAGCGGTAAAATAAGCTTAGGCCAAATCACGCGCGTAAAAGCTAAGATCATAAAACAATCACATTAATATGATGTTGCATACATGGATGATTTTCAACAAGAGATCCCTATATTAACAATAAGATTAGCCACAATGCAAAGATCCCTCACTTCACTCTCTAGCTTACTAAGTTTTTTTAGCGGAGGATAATCAACATGATCTTCATGAATCCAAAATAACCACAAGCGAGAAGTGGACTAGGAAAATAAGAGATTTGGAGGGAGAGTTTAACTAATGGGAAGACAAGAAAGGCCTCTTAATTGCTGTTGGATAGCAGCCGACTCTTCTCTGGTGCACTGGACAACCTAATACTTTCCTGAAATGTTTTGGATTGCAAGCCACAATCTCTGGACAGCACCCACGGAAGTTAGGACAGCAGGTTTTGGGTCTTGGGAGTTCTGGCCAGCAACTCGTAGGCTTCTGGATAGTAGCATTCAAGTTTCTAATACTCAGGATAGCATATGGCACCTGTCCAAGAATCTGGACGACAAACTGGAGGAGGGAATTTCAGGGATTTCCTCCCTCTGGACAGCAAGGGGATGAGCAGAAAAATCTGGACAGCCTTCAAACAATGCCCAGAAAATCTGGACAGCCGCTCTCTATGTTCGGAAAAATTTTGGACAGCTTGGATAGGGTGTTGGAAGCCTTTGGGCAGCAATCTCTGGCCTTCAGCAGCGCAGAACAACCAGTCAATATGGCTGGAAGATGGGGACAGTCAGCAGGAATCTCTGGGAAGGGAGGAAAACGTGAGAGGAGTTTTGGGAAGTGGCGGCTAGGGCTGAGAATTGTAAGGGGAATTAATGAGATTAACTTGGGAGAGATAAAAGTCAAACAAAATCTGAAATTAACTCTCAGATTTAATAAAATTGGAGGGAAGGATTTGAATTTGAATTCAAATTCAAATCAATGGATTAATGGGGGGTGAGGAATTATGGGAGGTAATTAGAGAGTCTTAATGGAGAGCAATTAATGAGAATTGGAGAGAGAAGGGGGAAGATTAAGTGGCCGGCCATGTAGGGGGAGGGGAGAGGGAGTTAATTGCTTAGTATGTGGGGCCCACGGAAATTACTAAAGGTTTTAATCAAATCTGAAATTTTAATTCAGATTTCATTAAATGAGGGAGTTTCCTAATTGAAATTTATTAGGGAGGGAATTATTTGAATTCAAATATTGGATTGAATTCAAATTAATAAACCTTCCTAATTGGGAGGATTATTTTAAGAAAGTATTTATGGGCTTAGAATTTTGAATTTCAAATTCCATGGGAGAGGGAAAGGTGGCCGGCGGCATAGGGGTGGAGATGGGGACGGGCCATGGTGTGGGGTGGCCGGCCGGCGGGATGTGGCCACCAATTGGCCGGCGGCTTGGGCGGCTCAGGGCTAGGCGGCGGCAATTGCAAGGGGAGGAAGAGAGGGCAAATTCAAGGGATTCGAGCGACTACGAATTCACTAATCTCATTTGTCTTCAATCCGGATTTCCACACAATTAACTTGGACGAACGCTAGAACTCACAAAGAGATCTACTTCTTCCGACGAACTCACTAAGAGATCTTGAAAGAATGAACTCACAAAGAGATCAAAAGTAGAAATTTTCATTTATCAATCATCATCCTCAAATTACAAGAAACTAGCCTATAAATAGGCCACATGAAGAGAAAAGAAATAAAAGACTAAAATGCCCTTCGGGCTACAACACTAGATGACCACCCATAAGGGTAAAAAGGAAAAACAACAAAATAAAACACATAAATAAATAGACTCAAGATCGTAGCCGTTGATCTCTGATGTCCTCATCAGATAGACAATCAACAACTGAGAGTGATGGATCGGTGAGTGATGACGTGTGTTCTGGCCAACTAATTGTATGAAGTGCTAGTTTGGGTTATTAGGTTATGGCACGGTGTTGCGAAGGTGTAGGCTAAGGATGTGTGGCTAGTGCCTAGTGGTAAGTAGGTATGAAGAGTTTAGGCTTAGGTATGGAGTTTGGAGTAATGGGCTGCAGGTGGTAGGCAATAGGGGCTATGGAGAAGAGCTGTAGTTAGGGTTGGCTGTGGAGGTGTTAGTGTGAGCATGGGTAGGTGTTGGTGCATGAGCTATAGATTGTGGCTAGGTGTCCATGGAGGAGGTTGAGTTGCTTTGCCATGCATTTAGATTGTTAGACTTGGTTTCATGTGATGTCAGGCGCAATGGCGTAGATGGGGCCTGACTTGTAAAGCTATGAAGGTTGCTATTGTGTGGAGGGCCTAATAGCTAGGTGGAGTTGCAACAAATACTAACAAGGTACTATTTGGTTGTGTTGTTCATAATGCTATTGCGAGGGGGTAGAGTCAGGTAGGTGATGCCTTAGGTGCTGTTAGGGAGATGGGGATAGATGTTAATGTTTTGCAGAAGTAGGTATACTAGTAGGTTATAGTGGTGTTGTTGTTGCTTGCAACATAAGTTTTTAAAAGGAGTTATATTTGGATGAACCAGACTAAATAAAGGGTTGAGACAATGTAGGATTTGACTGCTAATGCACTTAGGTGTATATTGTGTACGGTGTATAGTTGTGTAACGAGGTTGTTGCAGGTAGTTTCCGAGGCTTATGGCTTTGTGTAGGAGGCTTTCGTTGTCGGTTATCACTCACAAATTGAAAGCCTAAGGCATGTATTTTCGACTTAGGAGTACTATAGATGATTGGCTAGAGGCATGATGGTGCAGGTTATTGCTAGTGGTGTGAATTTGGGGATTAGTTCACAATATAATAAAAGGATTTCAAATTTTCATTGAATGATACTGTACATTTCAATATCACTGGTTATCTTTATTATACAATATAAAAATAGTTATCATCCTCAAATCAAGAGTTTGAGGCATGTATTTTTCTCTAAGGAGAGTTGTAGACAGTTGGATAGAGGCATTATGATGCAGGTTTTTGTGAGTGCGTGAATTTGGGGATTAGTTCACAACATAATACAAGGATTTCAAAATTTCGTTGAAGGCGATTGTACATTTCATATAATATCACTGATTACCTTATTTTAAATGTTATCCAAACATTCGACTTATATATGAATGTAATCAATTGACTAAGCCTAACCCTTGAGCTAACGATCCAAATATTATATGTTTTGAATTAATTAAGCAAAAAATTATCAATTACCATTTACATCTTAAAAATAGTAGCATACAAATTTGCCAAAAACTGCCATTGATTGATCCAAGCTCAGTTGATTACAACGCATGGACACAATGGTGGTGAGACATGGGCAATCACATGGAGAATCACAACAAGGCTCAAGTGATCGAACGTAGACCTCGATCACAAATAGGAACACATATTAGATAGAGATTGTGATCATAGCAAGAAATGCATGATAGAACTAATTTTGCTGTCGCTGTGACATGAATGATCAGAAAAAGATCGTGATTGCAGTTTGACACATTTGATCAGATCAATGTCATGATCATGATGAAACAACATGATTTGGTGGAGATCTTGATCATGATGGGATGCTTGTGATTAGACATAGATCGCAATCGTTGCGAGACATGCATGGTTGGACATAGGTCACATTTTGGTGAGACGCGCTTGCTTGGAGGAGACTGTGGCTGTGGTGAGACACGCGTGATCATACAAAGATGACTCTAGTGGAGAGACATATGATTAAATGAAGGTTGTGATGCACACAATTGAAGGAATTTCATAATTGTGGCATGCGGAGATCGTAATTGTGGCTAGACGTGCACGATTAGATGGATGATATCCAGTGGAATAGATCAACGTGTTAAACCTGAATAGGCCTTACGAGGTGACTCACATGCATAGAACCTAGTGTGTACGCTAGGGTCGAACAATTGGGTGGCTCGCATGCATAGAATCTAGTGTGTTTGGGCGATGAGTTTACTCAGGACTATTGTTTGTGCTAGATCTGATTAACAAGTGGGTGTGGATGACTAGGGTGTTATCCTAATCGGGTGGTTCAAATTCAAATTGTGGGGTGTTTGTAGTACTGCAGTGATTGAACTAGAGAGAAGACTCAAAGCCAACCAAAGTATATGTACAAAGATTGTATTCATGAGTGTGACAATGCGAGGTCAACATACTTGTTGTTCATTTATTTGCAATTAGAAATAAGGAATGATTTTGGTTTAGAAAGCAGCATAAGAATACATTCATACACATTTATCCGCTTTGTAACTCAAATTTGCTTGTATAAAATTTCATTTGAATTCAATTTGCCGTAATTATAATATTCTATGATCATTTGCTGTGTTTGGTGATGCACTTTCATGTCTTTTTGTTGCTCTATTTATGGGTAATCCATAAATATTGAAAATTTCTATGATTACATTCTTTTAGGTGCATATAGGCTCCAAATTATGTAGACCATATATGTAGCTATGTTTATAACATGCGGTCATTGATGCATGCATCTTGTACTTGTGTTTCTGCTGCTGATAACTGGTTGTTCACAATACTGCAGGTTTGGCAAGCACTTCTTGCAGTCCGTGAGCTCGTTCTGCCTCCTACAGAAGATATTGAAACATGGCTTAAATTTGCGTCACTTTGCCGCAAGAGTGGACGGATAAGTCAAGCAAGATCTACTTTATGCAAACTCCTACAGGTTATTTTCTTATCCTCTATGGAAAGTTACTTTTTTGGTTGGCAGATGGATTAGCTATTATGGTGAATTATGTTGTTGCTTTTCAGTATGATCCTGAATCAGCTCCTGTGAACTCATTTTTTCACGGGCACCCTCGGGTAATATTAGCTTACCTTAAATACCAGTGGTCTTTGGGGGATGACCTTAAAAGAAGGGAGGCATTTTCTAGATTACAAGTATGTGGTTCATCTTGTGCTTAAAAGATTGTTTCTATTTCTTATATTTGCTTGATTTTAAAAAATGTCTAAATTTAGCAGTGACTTTTTGATGATTTTTTCTTCAGGATTTATCGCTTCAGCTCACTTCCAGTGGAAGTATTTATTCTGTTGCATCTGGAAACCCAATTACTTCTTCCATTGTTGGTATTCCTCTTCTTGCTCGTGTCTATTTAAAGCTTGGTACCTGGCAGCGTGCTCTAACACCTTCATTAGATGATGATTCAATAGAAGGTAATTAACAAATTTTTTTTCTCCCCATCTTCTATTTGTTAGTTATTTTACTGACATTTGAAACAATATACAGAAATCCTTATTTCATTCAAGAATGCAACTCAATGCACCACAGATTGGGCAAAGGCATGGCATACATGGGCTTTATTTAACACCGCGGTTATGTCTCATTATACTTTACGAGGCTACCCTGCTATTGGAGGACAATATGTTGTGTCAGCAGTTACTGGATATTTTTATTCAATTGCATGTGCTTCTACTGCTAAAGGAGTTGATGACAGCTTACAAGTACGTCCTCTGATAAAGCTTTTTTGGTTTGGTTGTCTGTAATCTTTTGAATAGTTTAGGGTTTGATAAAAACTGAATTTTGCTGTTACACATGAATTGTTGCTTTTCCATATGTGCAGATTTTTTCTCTGCTCTAATGAGAGGTTTAATAAGAAATCTAACGATTGCTAATCTATTCTATATGCTAATTTAATATATGCTGTCGCCAAGACTAATGGAGCTCATTATGAAAATGTTCCTCATGATTTTTATGTTTATTTAGGATTCATTTGGGACGGCTTTCTTATTGATTCTTAAAGCAACTTTCTATTACAAAAATTAAAATTTTTTACTAGAAAGCTGCTTTAACAAGTAGTAAGAAAGCCACGCCAAACGAAGTCTTTGCATCTCAAATTGGGACTCAATGAATATCTCTAAAATGTCTTAATAAACATTAGTTTATTGCTGATCTGATTAATTGAAATCTTTGTGGTAAAATGCATCTACGAGACCTAAGACACATTACTTGAAGTCTTGTACAAATTTCTTAAACGTTGTGAATCATCCTGTCATTTAAATGTATGAGCTTTTTAAGTGATACAAATTATTTATTTTTTAATAATTTATGATATTCTTAATAATTCAGGATATTCTTCGTCTTCTCACTTTGTGGTTTAATTTTGGAGCTAATTCTGAGGTTCAAGTAGCGCTGCAGAAAGGTTTTTCACTTGTGAAGATTGAAATGTGGCTGGTAGTCTTACCTCAAATAATTGCAAGAATACATTCTAATAATCGAGCAGTGCGAGAACTGATTCAGTCATTGCTAGTGCGTATTGGAAAAGGGCATCCGCAGGTCAGTGTTTCCTGTTATTTTTTTAGACTTTCTTTTGTATTTTATAAGACATTGTCTTACAATATATATTGAATGTTATTAAGTTCACTACATCTATCAAGTTTTTGAATTTTTCATATGTTCTTGCCTACAAAAAGTGTACCGTATCTATAAGAACTAGAAGCCTGGAAATATAACTCTCAGATATCACATGTAGTTTTATGTGATAAATTTAAAGAAAAATTGCCACAAGTTAAATTTGGTATCCTAGAAGGCCATGAGCGTCAGTCTGTTCATAATCTTATTGACTTCATGTTATCCCCATAAAACCTGCGATATCATTAAATTGATTGTTTTGGGCAATAAATTCATGAAGATTGTTTTGGACTTGTTTCATAGTGAGTGTCCTGCATGTGCAATATGAAAATTGCAACCTAGTGTGATATCATACAAAAACTGCAGCCTCATAGGATATTATATGGGAAATATTTACATTAATTCGTTATAAGCAGAGTTTGTCAAACACTATGTAATTTTCTACTATCACTATTTTAATTAATTGTTTTCAAGTATTAGGAAGATTAGTTTTGGTCAGATTGCAGTAAAAATGATAATTTTATTGGAGTTCTCAATTCATGCTCATGGAAATCTAGGTTCAAAACTCAGAAAGCTGTGATCCTTTTACATGTAGAAGATCTCTTTATGATCTAATTTTTTGGCAACAACAATGGCCTATGAAGTGTGGCTAAAAGCTTATAAGAACAGGCTGACTATTATTTTTATTATGATCGACGAGAAATGTTGTAGAGATCTTATGGAAGTGAGCTATGTAAGGCGTTGAGGATGCGATTGTACATGGAATGGGCTGCAAGGGCTGTGAGAAAAATTGCCGGTATTGGTATCTGGTATTTCAGAGATTTGAATTATGATGGGTCAATGGTTTGTCGGTTATATGCTGTGGGAGAAGTTGTGGTGTTAGTATTGGATATGATTATGTCATGGTTTATGGGATGGGAAATGAGGTTTTCATGAGAAAACAAATTGCGGAATTGCGGCTTAGAAGTGTGATTTTTATGTCTTAGAAGTGTGATTTTGATGTCTTTGTGGTATCAGGCCATTCAGTTATTAAACGTTGGGGAAAATTGGGTGGGAGGAGGTTTATTGGGTGCAATTGAGTGTCACATGATTACTGTAGTTCTATGAATTATGGGTTTTTAATACAAACTCTATTCTTTATGATATGGATATTTTGTGGAGATAATTGTTGTGAAAATTAGGAAGACTTTAGAATACTATTTTGTATAGTGTAGAGGAAGATCATCATAGACAACTTGGATCAAAGAAAGAAGCAATTAACTATCAATGGTCCCATTTAATAATTTTTCATTAAGAAATAATCAAACGTCTATGTAATCCATTTTTTATGTGAGTAATAATTAACCTTACTAGCATTATCCTAACTATTTAGGCCCGCTTTTATATTCATTTTTCAATTGGTCCTGCTAAGTTCTGCCAGATGTGCTAATTTTTTTCTTCACAAATTATTTCGAATGTTTATCATTATAATCTTAGGGTGATTTCATCTCCTTCCTAATCCTTAACACACATTTTTTCTATTTGCCTGATGGACACATTTTCTTTCCCCCCTGTTGTAAGGATGAGAATATTCTTATCATTATTAACTAAGAAGGATAATGCTATCCTTATTCTTTTTATATTTATTCTAATAGAAAGTGAAAAAGAAACATGGTAAAATTTTGCCAAAATGATTGAAGGACTTTAAAAAGGCTTCAAAATTCATTATGCTCATCTCCTTTGTAGCATGATTTGATTTCTTGTGATTGGCCTCTGAGAAATTGAACTTGTGTGGGCTGATTTGGCAGAGTGGTAAAGCAGCACGAATGGTAATGCATCATATGGTTCAAGAAGATTTATAAATCCTTCTACATCAGTAGATCTATATAACACACAAACACAACCGGACATTTACATGCTCATGCATGCACAGGTTCATAGATTTGATATAGTTCTCCTTCACAATGATCATAGATTATCATTTTAAAACTTATTCAACCCTTTCACCTTGATTGGCGATTTTTAAATGTTTACAATTTTGATGCTTACACCCTATCTAAGACTTGGTAGTTCTACTACTTCATCATACTTATGTATTCTATTCTTCAGTTTGAATCTTTAATTTAATCAGATCATGTCTTCCACTTTGTTTTTCAGGCCCTTATGTACCCTCTTTTGGTGGCTTGCAAATCTATAAGCTTATTGCGTAGAGCTGCAGCTCAGGAAGTTGTTGATAAAATCAGACAGCATAGCGGAGTGCTTGTTGATCAGGTGAAAGTCATACCAATAATTGGAAATTTTCAGTATCACCTGTATTAAAACCTTTTTGATGGGTTATTTTTTAAATATTGTAGGCTCAACTTGTATCTAAGGAGCTTATCAGGGTTGCCATATTATGGCATGAGATGTGGCATGAGGCTTTAGAGGAAGCTAGTCGTTTGTACTTTGGTGAACATAATATTGAAGGAATGCTGGCTGTGCTAGATCCATTACATACAATGCTTGAGGAGGGCCATGAGACTCACATGGAATCTTCTTTCATGCTGGTATGCTTCCATCCCTTATTGAGCTGGGAGAATTATTTATACGTTTTCATCTTCCAAACATAAACAATTTACTTCCCCATGTTTAAGGCCGCCTTGAGTTTCTTCTACTAGTCTATGCGTTTCTTAATAAGATGGTTAACTTTCATGTGTCTATGGCAATGGTTTGTTAAAGTTTGCTTTACCTGGCATTGTCTTTTGCTACATTAATAAAATTAGCGTGTCCTTTTTAAACCTGTTAAAAAATATCTACCTTTGTTTACCTAACATTTTTGAAACAAGGTTCAACCCGATTTACTTATTGATGCCGGGACAGGTTAAGTTAAGACTTTTTCGTTATTGGTTGCGGCTCTGCTTTCAATTAAACTTTCTTATATCATGTCATTCATTTTCTATGCTGTTCATTTAAGTCGATTTTTTTTTTTAAATAATAACTATTTGAAAGTCTTTAAGATAAAGTGGCATTTCCTCAATTTTTTTATAGATTGAAGAAATCGTTTAGAGGGATATTCAAATTGTATTATATTCCTTGGAATCTTTATGTATATATAAATTCCAGGAGAATAAACAGAAAAGAGAAAGACATTTAATTTAATTAAGTATAGTAATCATATAGGATACGAAATGAGCATATACATAAAAAGGTTGGAGTAGCTCTAGTAGAAAAGATTAGAGAGTCGTCTTAGATGATTTGGTCACATAAAACGGCGGCCTTCCGATGATCTGGTTAGGAGAGTAAAGGTATTAGATTTGACTTATGTTAAGAAAGGTAGGGGTAGACCTAAAAAGACTTGGTTAGAAAATATTAGGAATGACCTTTCTTTATTAGATTTAAACGAGAATTTGACTTTTAATAGGACACAATGGAGAAAAATGATTCATGTAGCCGACCCCACGTAGTGGGATAAATGCTTGATGTTGTTGTTGTTGTATAGTAATCATATCTCACGGATCTCCAATTGCAGCCCTTGGATTACTTCCCATAGATCTCCAATAGCAGCCCTCAGATTGCTGCCCCATGGATCTCTAAATGTAGCCCCAAGATTGCCCACATATCTCCATTTGCAACCCTCAAATTAGTGCCCACGGATTACTGATGTGGCCTCCCCTTAGCTGCATGATTCAACACTCCCCTTCAAGTTGGGTTGTACAGGTTGTGCAATCATAACTTTCAAACAAACTTATCAAGTAAAGAGCCCGATAGTGCTTTTGTTAGAACATTTGCAAGTTGTTCATGAGTTGGGGTATATACTACTTCAATTTCTGAGTTATCTATTTTCTCATATATAAAGTCTAGCAATATTAACATGTTTGTTCTATCTTGATATATTGGATCCTTGGCCATATTGATTGCGGCTTGATTGTCACATTTCAACTTTATCATGCCTTCAATCTTTATTCCTAATTCAATCAATACTTGTCTGATTTAAATACCTTCACAAATAGTAATTGTTGCTCTCAGTTCAGATTCTGCACTGCTTTTGGAAACAACATATTATTTCTTGCTCCATGTCACTAAGTCCCCCCACACAAATGAATAATAACTTGTGGTCGATCGACTGTGAATCAGGCTTCCTGCCCAATCTGCATCAGAATAAAGGATCAATTTTCTATCATCATTTTTCTTGAATAATAGCCCCTTTCCAGGAGTGTTCTTGGTGTATCTCAAGATTTAATATACTGCCTCCATGTGCTCCTTCATAGGATTACTCATATATTGGCTTACCATACTCACAACAAACCCAATATCTGGACGGGTGTGGGAAATGTATATAGGCTTTCCTACAAGACCTTGATATCTTCCTTTATCTGCTAGAACTCTCTCCTTTTATATCCCAAGTTTTTTCACAGGATCCATAGGTGTACTGATTGGTCTGTATCCCAGCATGACGATATACTTTAGTAGGTCTAAGGTATACTTACGTTGGGAAATAAAAATACATTTGCTTGATCGAGCTACCCAAAGAAGTATCTAAGTGATCCTAGATCTGTAACTTCAAACTCTTTGAACAAAACTTGCTTGATTTGCATTATTTCCTTCATATCATTTCCTGTAAGGATGATGTCATCTACATATACAATCAGTATTGCTACCTTATCTCTTTTTGACTGCTTCACAAAAAAATGTATGATCTGCCTGACATTGTTTAAAACTATGGCTTTTTACATACTTTGAGAATTCCAAACCATGCTCTTGGAGACTGCTTTAATCCATACAAGGATTTTAACAATTTACACACTTTATCCCTTCCATAAGACTTCTGAATCCCCATTGGAATCTCCATATAGACTTTTTCTTTCAGGTTCCCATTTAAGAATGCATTCTTGATATCTAGTTGATGTAAGGGCTGATCTAAATTTGCTGCTAAGGAAAGAAGAATCTAGATGGTGTTGAGCTTTACAACATGAGCAAAAGTTTTCTGACAGTCTATTCTATAAGACAGTGAATCCTCTTGCAACCAATCTAGCTTTCAACCTCCCAACACTACCATCCACCTTATGCTTTATGGTGAACACCCTTCTTTCCTGGTGGGAGGTTCGTAATCACCCATGCTTAATTTTTTTTCAAGGCCATAAGTTCTTCTTTAACAGCCTGTCTTCATCTTGTGTGATTCAAAGCTTCTTGAATATTAGTCGGAATCTATACATCATCCAACTTCAAAAGAAAGACTTGATAAGTGTCTGATAATATGTACTGGAGAGAGTTTTTGATTGGATGCTTGGTGCATGATTTTTTCTATCCATTTTGATGACTCTATATCTATTTGAACTTCCTCATTTTTCTCCTATGTATGAATTTCTATAGTTGTTTGATCCATTGAAGTTGAGTTGATAGGTGCAAGACATGTCTCACTGCTCGGCATATGTTGATTTTTTTTCTTTTTCTTGAGTATACATATTATTGTTTGTTAATTTTTGCTCTTTGCAGAGATTAATTGGACTTATGTGTGGAGGTAATAGGTTTGAAGGTGGAGTTTGAGATATACCTTGGGAAATACTCGTGGTTTGGATTTCTTGTGATATATGTTGATTTTGACTGGACTCTGTTTGGTTGTATAATAAGGAATTCCACTCTCAAGTTTGAAATTCTCCTTCACTAACCCCTTGAATTTCAAAACTAGTGAAGTATGGATTGTTTTCAAAGAAAGTGACATCCATGGTTTCTAATACTTTCCTTGAAATAGGGCAAAAGCATTTGTAATCTCGTTTTGTTGGGGAATTAGCCAATAAAGACTTTTTTTTTATCTTAGGTCAAGCTTGCTTCTATCTTGTGGATAGATATGAACAAAGGTAGAACACCCAAAAATTTTAGGTGGAAGGTTTGATGATATGAACCGAGCATAAGAATAGGTTTTAAGTAGAGTTTGTATAGGTGTTTCAAATTTAGTATATGAGTAGGTAACCTATTTATTATGTATGCAATAGTAAGAATGGCTTCCCCACATAAATATTTTGGTACTTTTATGAATAGTATAATAGATCTGGTGACTTTCACGAGTTGCCTATTTTTCTTCTCAGCTACCCCATTTTGTTGAGGCATATACACAGATGAACTCAGTTGGATTATCCCCTTGGCTTGATAGGTATTCTCTTATGATATAATGTAAGTATTCTCTCCCATTGTCTGATTTTAATATTTGAATTTTTGTATCAAATTGGTTTTGAATCATCAGTTGAAATGATTTGAATATCCTTTCAACTTTAAATTTTTTCCTTCATTAAATAAACCCAAGTGGAGTCTAGTATGATTATCAACAAATATTACAAACCATCTTGCCCCACTTATATTTTTAACCCATGAGGGTCCCAAAATATCATTATGGATTAAGGCAAAGGGTTTAGATAGTTGACAAGGAACAAATGGGAAAGATGATCTGGTATGTTTAGCCAATTGACAAGTTTCACATTTAAACAAATTTGGATTTTTATTAATAAATAAATGGGGAAAAAGTTTTTCAAGCTACATGAAATTTGGATGATTTAACCTATAATGCCACATGATAATCTCTCTATATTGACTGACTCTTGAATGACTTAACAAATTGACTTACAATAGGATGATTCTTAGCCGGAGGATTCTTAGAAGCAACAATTAAGGTTTGTATGAATTTGGGTGTCTTGATGAAATATAACCCGGAACACATCTCAGGATTACCAATCTTGTTCTCTGAATCCAGTTCCTGAAAAATACATACATTATTGGAGAAAATTGTTTAAGCAATTACTATCAAGAGTCAATTTACTAATAGAAATCAAATTGCCCTTAAGATTTGGTACATAAAGCATTGATTTAAGGGTGATAACTTTATTTACAAAAGCAAAACTAGTTCCCAAAACTTTGGATGTTGAGCCCTCGTCAATCTTAACTATTCGATTTGAATGATAAGGTTGATATTCATGGAGTGTAATGTCTCATGTCATATGATCTGTTGTTCCCGAGTCAATAATTCAAAGTTTTGACTGTTTTATTCTTGAGTGAGCGTGTAGGCTGGTAGCAGGTTTTGGAGACCGTTGGTTCGTGATGTTGTTAAGCAGCAACTTCATCATCTCTAAATGCTCCTTGGTGAAAGGAATGATTTCAGCTTTGATGGATTGATCTTGCATAATGTTGACAGAGTTCGCTTTGCTTTCTTGTGCTGATTTGTATGCTTGCGAATCAGCTGGTTTTCCATGAATCTTCCAACATGTCTCATTTGTATGTCTTGGTTTGGCACAATGATCACACCATGGTATAGGAAAAGGTGAAGAGTTCTTTGTAGATCCAAAGTTTTTGGTGTTCAAACCGATAATATTTGGGTAGGAGGCCAAAAAAACTACCGAGTCCTCTGGAATTTTGGAGTTAGGACATAAAAAATGGACTCTGGCTGAGGCCACACAATGATAAAATTAAACTTTTGTAGATTATCTTTCAAACCTTTAGAAGAAACTACAAAACCAAGAAATTTAACTTAAAGAAAAGTACATTTCTTTAGTCTAATAGACAACATCAAGGTGAAAAGATCTAGGCTTTAGACCTCTATCAAGCATCACCTGCTGTTTGCTTTTGTGTGGTTTATCATAGTTTTTACAACTCCTTTTTGCCAATGATTCAAGATGCAATATCTGTGGAAATCAAAGAATCTATACTTAACGGTGGTTTGGTTCTTGTTTGGTCTTTATGAATGTCATTTCAGGCGTATGGTCGTGAATTATCAGAGGCTCGCGAATGCTGCTTGAATTACAGGAGGACTGGAAGGGATGGCGAGCTTACTCAGGTTATTTAACTAGACCTATCTGGCATATCTAATGACTAAGGAGTGATTATTTTTGCAGTTAGATTTTTTGGTTTTTATGTCTAAGTTTCTTATTTTCTCTGTTGATTTCAGGCATGGGACTTATATTATCACGTTTTCAAACGAATAGATAAGCAACTCCCCAGCCTTACCACTCTAGACCTACAGGCAGGTTTTACTGTGGTTCTATTAGTTATTAGTTTATCTTATTTCTGATGTTGCTTAACTGGTCTTCCCTTGGTGCAAGTCCAGTCTGTTTCACCTGAATTAATCAAATGTCAAAATTTGGAGCTTGCTGTACCTGGCACATATCATGCAGGTAAAAGGTTGAAGTTTACGTGAATCTTATATGATATAAGCTTGTTTTTAACACAGTACGATTTGTATTCTTCTGTTTGATTATGAAAAGTCTACAATAAGTCTCTCTCTCTCTCTCTCTCTCTCTCTCTCTCTCTCTCTCTCTCTCTCTCTCCCCTGGTTGAATTACTTGTACTCTAGTTAAATTAGTTGCAAAACAAATTTATTGAATTCGAAAATCTTTTAATTTGTTAATCAACTACTTTTAAAAATTTGCTTATGGATTGCTCAAGTAATGTAGTACGCTAATAGTTACTTTATATGTTTTAAATTATTCAAATTAATTGAAATATAATGTGGTTAGATAGCTTTTATAAATGATATGGTTAGATAATTTTAATATGTAGAGTTGTACAAATGCTATTTTTTGTCCAAAAAACTGTCATTAATGATTATTCTCAATATTAATACTCGTACATTATAGATTATTTTTATGCTTAATGAGTGACTATACTTTTGATGAATTCCTGTGTAATTATCTAGTCATTTTTAATGTTGTAGATCAAATACATTTATCCTAATTATAATTTGGAAGTCAAACCTGGTTAAAATATAATGGATAAGAGAATTGATCCTTTTTTTCAAATCAATTGGATTGTAGTATCAATCTCTAGAGAGGGCGAGGTTGCTCCTGTTCGCTATGTGAAATTTCCTTTCCCACTTTTGATTTTAGATTTATTTCTGTTTTGAAGTCCAAATTTTGAAGTCTCCCAAATTTAAATAAAAAAAAAACGTATTTTGTTAATTTCTTGAACTTCTTATTCTGTTAATTATTTAAACTGAGTCAATGTCTTAGACTATAATACATGTGAAAGAGCACAGAAAAAAATTGTTTGATTCGTTTTATTTTTCATTAACAACACTGATTTTTTTTAATAAATGAATTATATGAAAGCTATGAGTAGGTTTAGTGTGCTCCATGCCTCCGTGGGTTTGCATTTGAGCGTTCTTATTTGACATGCAAGGGCATGTTTGTATTTTTTCTGTTCTTCATGAGAAATTACTTTTGCATGTTTTCCATTCCATGATCTATTAAGAATTTTTGTTTGTTTCAGATGCGCCACTGGTTACAATCTCATCATTTTCCCCGCAACTAGTTGTCATTACATCTAAGCAAAGACCTCGAAAACTGACTATTCATGGAAGCGATGGGGAGGATTATGCTTTCTTGCTCAAGGGCCATGAGGATTTACGGCAGGATGAACGAGTCATGCAGGTAAATGTTGCTAAAGCAGTTGTGTTCTTTCTGTGAATGTGGATGAAAATTTCATTATTCGTCTCTGAAATATTTATGACTTTTAACGGAAACTTATAAAAAGATATGACCTTTCTCTTATTTATATATTAATGTGACATTATTAAAAAATTAAGAACTAAAATTAAAATCTAATTTTGATTAGTTGTATGTATGATCATATTTTTCTTTTGAAAGTATGGTGATCTGACCCTAATTTGCCATTTTCTAGCTCTTTGGGTTGGTTAATACTCTTCTGGAGAATTCGAGAAAAACTGCTGAGAAGGATCTCTCAATTCAGCGTTACGCTGTTATACCATTATCACCTAACAGTGGATTGATTGGATGGGTTCCTAATTGTGACACTCTCCACCATCTAATTCGGGAATATAGAGATGCGAGGAAGGTATGTTATATATAATCTGTGATTCCTTTGAGTTGTTAACCTAGCTGCATATTTCTTGAACTCCTCCCGTAATTGCAGATGTGCCTAAACCATGAGCATAGACTAATGCTAGCATTTGCTCCTGACTATGAGCGCCTGCCCCTAATAGCTAAGGTAGAAGTATTTGAGCTTGCTTTGCAGAATACAGAAGGAAATGACTTGGCTAAGGTATGTTTAAATTTACTCATTTTGTAGTTTTGATTGAAAAGAAAATGAAGAATTTATATTGCACTAATTTCAAAGAATATTCAATAGTTTTAAATCCATCTTTATATAATTTGTATCAAGATATCCTTTCAAAATTGTTGGTCTCGATTGTTAGGTACTCTGGTTAAAAAGCAGAACCTCTGAAGTTTGGCTAGCAAGACGGACCAATTATACAAGAAGCTTGGCAGTTATGAGTATGGTATGAAATATTTTAATTTTTCCCCTTAGTTTTCTCTTGTTTTTTCTCTGCGTACGTTTTATATTACAATGGCTTGGTGCTTTATATTTTGTCAGGTGGGTTACCTGCTTGGATTAGGGGACCGTCATCCTAGTAACCTTATGCTGCATCGCTACAGGTATTTCAGAAGTTATCTCAACTTGTCTGATTTTTGGTGTTAATACTTTTTTTTTAATCTTGGTTTTTATGCTTGATTCTTTCTTATTGTATTCAGTGGAAAGATTTTACATATTGATTTTGGAGATTGCTTTGAGGCCTCCATGAACAGAGAGAAGTTCCCTGAGAAGGTAACCAATTTCCTTTTTCTGTGGAAATGGTCTTTTTTCCAAGGTCCTTGGGAAGCTTCCTTCTGTACTTACAAGTTTTGTTCAAGACAGGTACCTTTTCGTTTAACTAGAATGCTTGTGAAAGCAATGGAAGTCAGCGGCATTGAAGGAACTTTCAGATTAACATGTGAAAATGTTATGCAAGTTCTCCGGACAAATAAAGATAGTGTCATGGCAATGATGGAGGTGAGAAAAAACTTCCTGGATTTGCTTATGGATGTTTTTACCTCCATGCAGCTATTGGTCCTTATATTGGCATTAACAGTTATGAAAAACCCTCATATTCTGAGCGTCCTTGGCCTCCCTGGCTCCTCTACCATTTAACCCTTTGCAACTTTTCGTTTACAACAATATATTACTATAAGTTTAATGTTACATACTGTGTATTACATTTAGGCTTCGTTTGGGACTGTTTTCTTACTGTTTTTAAAACAGCTTTCTAGTTAAAAAATTTTAATTTTTTATTAAAAAGTCATTTTAAGAAGCAGGAAGCTGTCCCAAACGAAATCTTATATGAGCTATGCAGGTTGTTTTGTCTGGTTGGTTATGAATTCTGTGCTATGAAGTGACTTGTTAATAATTTTCTGGAGACAAATTATTGAATCAATGTTGCTTTTTTTATGTTATTATTTCAGGCATTTGTCCATGACCCTCTCATAAATTGGAGATTATTTAATTTTAATGAAGTTCCTCAAATACCAAACTTGGTTAGCTCCCATGTTCTCCCAGTTGCAAATAGCGATGAGTCTGCTGCGCCTAATAGAGAGCTTCCCCATCCTCTTCGTGGTGCTCGAGAAAGGGAATTGCTTCAGGTATTCACTTTCCATTCACTACTTAAATTTTTTTATTCCTCAACTCGAAATTTTGTAATTTTGATCATCTCTGCAGGCCGTTAATCAGCTTGGTGATCCTAATGAGGTCCTGAATGAGCGTGCTGTGGCTGTCATGGCTAGGATGAGCAACAAGCTTACAGGAAGGGATTTTACTTCTGGATCTTCGTTATCAGGGGCTGGAAACTCAGTTCAACATTTGGAACAAGGTTCACTTATCTCTGGCGATCCAAGAGAAGTTGATCATGGTCTTTCTGTGAAGCTCCAGGTTCAGAAATTGATCACACAAGCTATGTCACATGAGAATTTGTGCCAGAATTATGTTGGGTATGCAATCCATCTCAACTTTTTTACTCATAAAAAATATTAAATGCAAAAAAACTTCTTGCAAATAGAGCTTCAATTCCAGTGCAACTCTTCCTGCCTTGATTAAAATGTGCTGTCAATGGATGGAGAAATTATTCCGTGCGGAGACCGAATGCAGAACGTCATTCATAGGCCAATTAGAATGCGTCATGTCAGCAGTACCGAGCCGTAGTACCAAGCAAAGGGTGACGTGACGCATTCTGGTTGGTCTCCGGATGGCTTTCGGCATCCGCACAGAATAATTAATCGAATGAATGATGAATCTTGCCAAAAGAAAAAAAAAATCTTAGAACACCAATAGTGGTACACTTGGGACAAAAATCTAATTTTTTTTGTAACTTTTCTATTTTGCAGGTGGTGTCCATTTTGGTGAGAAGATTGAAGTAAAGGACCTGTAAATTTGTACATATCTTTGTACATATGTCATTTGACGAGGCAATAAAATGCATCACTCATTATGTGATAGAACATTTTTATGTTCGAATTCTTTAAAGTATCTGTATATTAGAGGAGAATCATCATTATTGATTAAATGATAATTATCAAGGTTTTAAGTGCATCAATGCAAATTTAAAGATTTTTTTTCTTCTGCTCCTTATTTACTTTCTTTTTTTATGCCCCTTCTTAGGATAAGCTTAAATAATCATTTAAGTGCTATAAATGTACCATTTAAATTGGTTTATATGTTGAAAGATTATGATGTGAAACTAGGAATTATTTGCGAGTATTAATAAGTAATTGATTAAGTAACGATAAATTTTAACTTAATGTTTCACCCAAGTAGATTCAAAGAGGATCTTAAGAAGAAAGCTATGTGTAGGCAATCAATCACAAATTGAACTTAAAGAATTTTTTTAAACAACAACCAAAATAAAGTAACGAAATGATTAGTTCAACATAATCCATCGGTTAACAAAGCGATGTTTTCACCTTGAGTTATGTGAATCTCTGTTTAAAGTGGTAAGATTTGATGGAGAAGCAAAGCCAATACACAAAGCGATGCCACAACAAGGAGGAAGCCTCGGGTAATAGTCATTGGAGTGGGAGTTGAATTCGAAGAAGTAGATAGATGGTTGATAACGTACCAACGACCCGGAAGGATGTGCTCTTCAATTGAAAGTGTCAATCGATACAAGATGCGGTCCTCGTATTCTTTCACTGAGTTGTCGAAGTTTGGTGTGAAGTTGAGGAAAGAAGATCGTAGGATGTTGGCTCGTCTGTGAGACTCTTCTACGAATCCGGGATCAATCTCCGAATTGACCATTCATGCTTGCCTTGAGTGGGGACGAGGAGAATCGAGGTGGTAAGGAGAGGAGGGGTGATGGTTTGGGGAGTGGGGTTTGGCCGTGGATGAGAAGGGGAAAGGTGGGCCGAATTAGGAGTGGTGAAGTAGAGAGGCCAAGGTTAAAAATTTGAAGTTAATTCTCATATTTAGAGGGAGAAAAACTTTAATTTGAAATTCAAATTAATTCCAAATGGTGGCTTGATTCGGGCAGCATCCAAGGGAGATTTAATGGGGATTTAATGAGAGTTTAGGTGGCGAATTGGAGAGAGAAAGGGGTTAGAGAGGAGGCCGGACACATATGGTGAAGTTTGAGGTGTTTTCATTTAATGTGTGGGTCCAGGAAGGATTTAATTGAGGATTGCCATAAAATCTGAAATTGATTTTAGATTTTATTGGGTTTAGGAGGTTTTCTAATAGGCTACTATATGTTATTAATATGGAAAGCTTTATAATTCAAATTTGAATTTGAATCTAAATGAACAAATTAATAGGGACATAATTTAAGAAAGTAATTAAGGATGATTTTGAATTTTGAAATTCAAAATCCTTGGGCAGTTGATTGATGGCGGCGGTTCGTGGGGCTTGGGGGAGGCCGATGGTGAGGGTTGGATGGGGGTTCGGTGGTGGCCGGGTGAGGGGTAGGTCGGCGGCACTAGGAGAGGCAGTTTGGGTGGGGTTCGATTTTGGGAGGAGGAAAGGGGATAGGGGTTTTGGGAGGCTGGCTGGTATGGGCTAAGAGGGGAGATGAAAGTAGAAAGAAAATTAGAAAAGAAAAGAATGGAGCTGCGAACCTTGGAATCCACCGAAGGTTGACGGGTATTGCTCTTACCCATCAAGGGTCTCTCCTCTCAAAAACTCACTTAGAGATCAAATAAGAAATTGGAAATTTCATTCATAAGCATCATTAGAAAATAATACAATGAGTAGGCCTTAATATCTAGGCCTCCTAAAGCAAAACATCAAGACACATATGCACTCGGGCTACAACATATAACAAATCTCTCATAGGGGTACAAATGGAAATTGAAATTTAAATAACATAAATAAAGTAAAACATCATAAATAGAGAATATGAATCGTAGTCGTTGATCTACGATTCCTCCGATGGTAAGTGTGATGAAATCTCCTGCGGATGTCCTCATCAGATTAGCTATGTAGATATGTTCTCATTTAGATGTTTTAAATTACCTTTGTGAATATAAATTGGTGTAGAAACTTCTATGATTAAGTAAGGCTTCGTTTGAAGCAATTTTCTTACTGTTTTGTAAAGCGATTTTTTAGTATAATTTTTTTGAATTTGAAAGCTACTTTAGAAAGCAGTAAGAAAATTGTCTCAAATAAAGTCTAAGAATGAATATATTATCTTGTCACGATTGTTCTATTATTATGTTATTGAATTTGTTTGTTATGATATGATGAGAATGTGAAAGTATGTGCTAATATCATCACATTAGTGTAAATTGTCACATAGATTTTGAAGATTATCAATGATGAATTGTAATCTTGCATGCAAAGGCTTGAAATCATATCATAATCATTTGATGTTGATCAAGCAGATTCATCCTCATCAACATGCATGCGCATCTGCTGGTCAGATTTTTTTTGGGTATGGTGGTTAATTTAAATTAGGAATAAGATTATAATATTAAAAAAATTAAAAAGTAAGCAAATTGCCCAAACCATTTTACGCATTCAAAAGAATGTACCAAATGATTAATGTATTTAGAATGCATCAAATCATTTGGTACATTTTAAAAGTATTGCAGTAATATGACAACAATTTGATGCATTCAATAGAATACGTCAAATATTTCATTGAATGCATCAAATTATTTGACTTATTCTAAATGCATCAAACAGTTTGATTCATTTAATGGATTGCGTTATTATGTTTAGCAATTTTATTTTATTTTTTATTTTTTTTAATAATCAATTTTTATTCCTAATTTAAATTAATAACTGTGCTAAAAAAAATCCCCTCCGGTCTATTGTGGAATTTCTTTTGCACGGTCTGTTCTCTCTAATTATTAGGTACGGATTGCGGACAAGAGAACCGTCCGCACACTAGTATAAAACCGTGCTCGGTACCGTTCGGTACCACTCGGTACCACTGGGTACCGCTTGGTACCCTGTATCTGTGCGGACGGTTCTCACCCGTCCGCACTCCGCACCTAATAAAATTTCCTGTTGATGCCCCTAAAAGATGTGTTGTCTAGCAGGAGGGATTGATTGCCAACAAAGGTATAGAAAGTATTTCTTTGATTGCTGTAGGAGCTGATCACGATGAGCAAAATATGGCTGAGCAGCAAGTTTCACTTTTTGGTACTTTATCAAAGCATGTTAGGTTATTTAACATGTTCTTTGTACTGATAAATACTTTGCTTATGGCAATACAACTTTGGATTACAGGCTATAATGTGAGGGACCTAAGAATCTACATAAGACTTTGCTTATAGCAAGTTTATGAGGGTAAAAATATTAGAAATTTAGGCTGTTTTTGGGACAATTTTATTACTGTTTTTTAAAATATTTTTTTAGAAAAAATTTTGTACTGAAAAATTACTTTAGATTGTGAGAACTGGCATTTACTTCTATTTAATGGAAAGAGGTATTCATTGTTGTTAAATAGGAAAGTTGAGTAACTAAGGCCTCATTTGGGACAATTTTTTTAATGATTTGCTTTTCAGGTCACACCTACCAACTTTTATTTGGTTCAGTCACCTGACGTGGCTCTACGTTCAGACGTCAATAAAATAGTGCCACATATTCTCACTATTTACTGCGCGGCCCGACAAACCTGACCTGGAACGGAGACGGGATTGCTATATTCGTGTGTTGCTAGGTATTGCTCGGTATTGCTCGGTATTTGCTCGGTATTGCTCGGTATTTGCTCGGTATTGGTCGATTTTGCTCAGTATTGGTCGATTTTGCTCGGCAATAACGAGAAATACCATTATGTGAAGACCAATACTGAGCAATACCTTGAAATACCGAGCAATACCGAGTTTTTCTCGATATCGCTCGGTATTTCTTGGTATTGCTCAGTATTGGTCTTCACATAGCGATATTTTTCATTATTGCCAAGGAATACCTAGCAATACCGAGCAATACGCGAACATAGCAATCCCGGGTCAAGTCGTCGGGCCGTACTGTATTGAGTAAGACCACGAGGAGAGATGTTATTGGCGTCCGAACGTAGAGCTACGTCAGGTGACCTAATAACCTACAGTCTCTATTTGGTCACCGCTTCTTCACTTTTTTTAATAAATTTTTATGCTAGGAAACTGTTTTTTACAATAGCTTCCAAAAAATTACTTCATAACAATTTTAAAATTAGCTTTATAAAAAGTTGTGGCCATTCCAAACTAATCACAAGCTTTCATTTGGGACAAATTTATTATTGCTTTGTGCTTTCTATAACAACTTCTAGTACAAAAATTTCTTAAAAACAGTAAAAAAACAGTGACCTCAAACTATCCCAAATGAAGTTTAAGATTTTGTTTGGGACAGCTTTATTACTGCTTCTTAAAACTATTTTTTTTGTATTACAAAACCCAAATCTAAATTTAAACGTGAATGATTTGAATTTAAATTTAAAATTAACATCGAGTCATATAATAGTTCGATATAAAATACACTAATTCAAGGTTGAATGAACAGAATCATTTTGAATCAAAAATTAATTTTAATATGTGTGCCTTTGGTAAATTACAGAATGCATTAAACATACATAGCCTTCAACCAGAAAGATCAGAACCTTAGTTCCATTGTCCTAATTATCAGGAACAAAGCTGCAAACAAAAAGAAGAGATGCTTTATGTCAGCTTCCATATAATGGAGACCAAAAAATCTTCTTTGATAACTCTGAAGCTTCACAAAAAATAGTGAAGAGATCCAATATAAGACAGAAGAGTCTATACTATCTATAAAAGCAAGAAAGGTAAAGTAAACCTACAAGACCCAACAACCACAAAGATAAAGAATCCAAGCACTATAGGTCCAACAGTATAGTCATTTTCTTTCCTTACAGTGGTTTCAGGAACTGAGCCCCTCTTCGTGATATTTTTCTGAAACTTAGTTACCTTTTTATCTGCAAGCCGTCTTGAAGCGGAGGTGGAGAGATTATTACATGTGGAGTTCGGATCCTGACAATCGTTCGGTTGTGTTAAAAGTATAGTTATCGTTCATCACTGCACTTTTACTGTGTTGTTATTGTTCACAGTCACAAAACCGAACAAATCTTTAGGTCTGGACTCCGTACGTAATAATCTCTCCTCGAAGAAAATGCATTTATCAGAATA